CACGCAGCTTCAGCACACGCATCTTTTGTCACAATTGTTCATCTCCAATGTTGGGCCAAAAGTGTGATAGATGTAAAGACGAGCTTCAATGCTAATTTTGTCGTTGTGTTTTGAGCACTTCAAGAACTCAGCCAGTTGAATATGCCGTAAGGACTCTTCGAATTAGCATAAGCTGCAGCATTGAGAGAAACAATAAACTCGGAAATGTGACACGGAAGAGGATTCGGCACCCGTGCCGAGTCGTCTGTCACTCAGACGTGGGGGGTCGGAAATGACTCGTCTACAGCGGCTGCTCGGCCATGGAGAAGGCAGAGTTTAGTAGAAGGATCTAGTAATACTCCTGCTTGCTAAGGTCATCCGCCACCGACGACGACGATTTGTCTTGCGAAAGATGCGCAACACTTGGCAGATGCCGGAAAATGCGCTTATGAGTGTCAATGATGACCCCCAGGGAAGACGACCGATCATTATATTGATGCTTCCGGCAAAATCCTAACAATCCACTCGACGCCTTCAATTTGGACGATTTGCTAACATTGTATTGAAAGCATAAGCTACCAAAACATGCTGATGCTGATGGATGGCGACAAACAACTAAGGATGACGGCGCAGCGTAAAGGAAAGCTACGAGTTGAGGATTGCAGCAAAGTCATCGCTATGGATTATATCTTCGAGTTAAACTTTCTTTTTTGTAAGCCCTTTTATAAGATGGTCTCAACTCAGCTAAAGGGAGTACATTGGAAAACTAAACATAGACAAAAAACTTCAACAAGAGATATTTTGCTGCTTTTAGCTACTTTTCAAGTCCATATGGCTTACACAAAACTTGGTTTAAAACGCAAATTGCCCGTGAAGAGCTTATGCGCATTTTATACACCTACCTAAATTACTACATAAATTAGTACATAACTTTTTTAACAGTGCAGCTCGCAGGGACTAGAGGGAACAGAACGTACGCTAGATTAGAGATAAGAATTCCTATTTTGCAATCTGCTGTTTACCGTCTGTAAATGAAGCATAGTGAAGGAGGGATCCGAAGGTAAATATCTATGTATGAATTGACCTCTGTACATAGCAGATTTCTCATTGGAACATGAGAATATGAATGGTATGGCGAAGACTCACTCAGATGA